AATATATTGTTGTTTCATTCTATACATATGGTGGAGAGGCCGGAGGAAACCTACGGAAAGCAAGAAATGGGCCGGTCAGGCAACCTGGGTAGGCTGACCTGCCTTAAGCGTCAGACCCTTCAGCAGCATAGTGTACGGCTTCTGGATCTTGAGCGTCCCATTGACCCTCTCAAAACGGAATCGAAAGACTTTCGAGATCACCTTGCTCGCCTCCGTCTCTGCGATACAGGACGCGAAAAAAACTCTTGGCCGACACCGTCTTCTCAGCGCTGGTCAAAGGCTTGTACTTCATCTCTGACTTGACGCACACGTTGAAACCATCAGTCTGACCTGCAGACGATGCCCTTGAGCAATCCGAATATGATATCTTGTAGGCAGTGATCTTCTTGACCCGTTCCAAGTAGGTAAGCAGCTTGTACAAAGTGAGCACTTCGCAGTGGTTGTGCTCTGGCGATACCGAGCTATGGTCAAGCTGGCAGAGGGTTTTGTCTCCATTCAGCCACCCAAATTCAACGCCAGTCCCCTCCTCACCCTTCTCGACATACCTGCAGCCGCCGAAAACAAGGGCGCTGAATCACAAGTTGCATTTAATTGGACACCCGCACAAACAACAAAAAATATTGCACCACCTCAATCCATGTTTCTTCCCAGTGCCAAACCCACCAAGGATGGTCCACTTTGGAATCGACTTCACTTTGTCTGCCAAGAGGAAGATCTTCTTGCTCGTAGTAAGAAGGAGCTCCACACCACTGAACTCTGACGCAACACGAGTGGCAATTGGATCTGCTGCCTGAAGCTTCTCCACTGACTCGAAAGTAACAGGAGGAGCATCAGAACCACCCTCTTCCTCAACAGCGCCTTCGTCTTCACCCTCTCCCCCCCGCAGCTGCAACAACAACTGCGGTGGTCTGAGTCTGACCGCTGGGCGTGCTCCCAGCTGGAGTGATCAACGACGCAAGTGCATTTTCGTACTTCTGCATGTGAGTCTCCAGTAGGAGCTTGAACTCCTCCTCGTAGGGCGGCCCCTTCGAAAGCCATTGCCTGGCCTGGTCCCGGTGAATGACCATCTTGGTCCCCTCTCTCACGAGAACTTCCAACTTCAAGGCATCGGCCGACTTGATGCATTCCGAGCCAGGGATCTCCTTCAACTCCTGGACAAATTTAATTTGCAATGTGTCTTCGACATTTCAACTATTGAACTCATAGTTTTTGTTCATATGTATATATATATATAACCCAGCCCCAGCACAACTTGAATTCCAAGCGTCAATGTCAACAGTTAACACAACAGGTTTGTCAGTTGAAACACACTCGACAAATCCTCATCTGTCAACTTGATCTCTGCGTCGTCGAACTTCTTTCCAGCAAACGAGATGCGCTTTGACAACCACGCGTCCAAAAGCTCTCTGTTGATGCGCATTCGAGCGTACTGGCAGCCTGTCGGAGTGTCAAGAGTGTGCAGGCTTAGGTAGGACAAGCGCTCCCAATCGTAGCCGCCGCCCTCTCCAGTCAAAGACCCCTTCATTCTCAGGTTCAGAACCTCCAGCGGGTCAGTCGTCAAACACCACAACAAAGCATCTACAACGCACCAGCCAAAAAATTGGATCCAACTAGAACCCAGCAACAAGAGGTCTGAGCCTTAGGCTTAACTAGTCTCAGCAGAAAACACAATCAGGATCGAAAATGAAAAGCGAAAATTGGACAGGAGAACTGAGGGGCAAGATTAGGAAGTAGGAGAAAAACACGATGATCTGACAGAAAGCATCACACAACACACCCGCACACACAGCGCAGCCACTTGTCAGCTAGGCTGCAGTTGCTGTCAGTGGGGAAGCGAGTCGGGGCAATTGCTCTTAGTTCTAGACCTGCTGAGGGGCAGTTACAAGCTGGTAGACGTGTAAAGTCGCCATGAGTTTTTTGGGCGCTCCATCCCCTGATCTTCTGAACCGGCAACATCAAAAAAAGGTCATCCAAAAGCTGGGAGCGGCGTCCCCACACCGCTGGCAAATCAAAATAAAACCATTCCATCAAATCACCACACAATCACCGCTGCAACACACATCATCATCCTGAACCTGCTGGGTCTGGTAGAAGAAAAACACAAACTAAGCATGACACAGATTTACTGATCAAGAAACTGCAGCCCCAAGTTCTTCTACGTACCCTGTGAGGTTCACCACGACGCAAGGAGATTGGATTCCTGTATAGCGGAACACTGACTCAACGAGGAGCTCGAGGCGAGCTGTG